ACTAGGAAGAAAGTAGTCTAGTCCTTCCCCTACTTTCTTTACAGTGTTAATTACCTTAGGATCTTCCTGTAGTATCCTCTGTCTATCCTTTGCTTAGTTAAACACTATCTTAAGCTAATCTAAACGTGTTACAAATCTTGTAGCCTAGAGTTTACTAACAGGCTCCCTACTACACACACCTAATAGTTTATTAGCTATATCTGCCACCTCACACAGCTGAGGCGCAAATCCTCGCAAATTAAGGTCAAGGATATATTAGACAATTGTCTGCTCTTTAGTTGCAGTAAGCTTCTGGCAGTTTGCGCGTACGTTGAGTTGAAATGGAGTATTGCTAGCGCGTTCAGAGAGCCTGCGTTGGTTAACGTTGAATGCAGCAGCAGCAGCCCGATGGCTCTGAAACTATCTGGTATTGTAGGCCTGGAGAGCAAGCTGCAGTCTCCCTTTGTGTTGAAGCAATAGGTCGTGATGTTGTTAAGACATACTGTGAAGTGCGAAGTTGTGTTAGTCTTGGCAGATTTTAACTGGTTTGGTGATATGACCAGCTCGGTTTGATTGATTGATTGATTGATTGATTGATTAGTTTAACGTCCTGTGTGAGTCTAAGACTATATAGGACGAGAGCAGTGGGTCTGCTCTAGTAATTTACAAGTTTTTTCTGTGTAAGGGAATAGTATATCTAGGTTTGTAGATATATAGTGAGAGCCTGTGCTCTAGTTATAAACTAAGGAAATTAGTTGTCTATTGTTTGCTGTAGGTACTACTTGCGTGTGCCTACTTTAGTTTCTTGAATAAAAGCTAGTGTAGCTTAGATTCCCCTGTTTGTGTCTAGGAGAAGAGACATTGTAAGTCTTGTCTCCTATAGGCTGCTCTTTATTTTCTTTCTTGCTTCTCTATAGTTTCTACAGCTAAGCAGTAGGTGTTAAGGTGTTTGTGTATATCTACAGCTACATTTAGAGCTTTCTGTTTTTTGTATGTTGTGTAGATATGCTTTGTTGTATCTATGTCCCAGCTTTAGCTGGTAGTATGCGCTTGCAATTTCTCTTCTAG